ATTTCAGGTAAAATATATTTTTTCCGATAAAACTGGAACTTTAACTAACAATGTCATGATATTAAAACATTGTTCAATTGCTGGAGAACTTTATCCAGAAGGATCACAAAACAAAATGATACATGTAAGTTATCTATATATTTTCATAGTCAAATCTAAACCATTTTTAAACAGAATAGATTTTATTTTATTTTTCTACAATTCAATAGACAGAAATTATTGATACTTAATATTTTGACTAAATATTWATATTAAAATTTTCTAGACTTTATAAGATTAAAAATATCTTGGATATTTATTTGTCAAACATTTAAAATATTTATCTTTTTTTATGTATTTATGTTTAAAAAAATGTGAATTGAAATATTTGAATACTTAATACAACGCTCCTTATAAGTTCTCACATCAATTTAAAAATATTCAAAATACAGTAAACTATTTTTGATAAAACTGGATAATTTAACAATAATTAAATTTATAATTCAATAAATATTAATTGTTAGCTCTAGATTATTTCTGGTGTTACATATGTGGTTTTGCCTGAACAAAATTGCATTTTCAAAAATATTTAAACTAATTTTAAGCTACTTACCATGAATCTATACACACTATTAATATTGGTATATGACATTTACTTAAAAATTAATAACAATAATAATTTGTGATATAAAATTATTATAATTTATAATTTAATAGGTATACAATGTTTTTGGCTGGTAATTAGTTCAATGTTCAACATACCATACTAAGTACTGATTAAGTTATAAATAAATAAATGATTTATATAAGTATAAAGACTTATATTATACGATATGTTTAGTGTTACTTGTTGATGACCACTATGAATCGTTTTTCATATAATATAATGATCTATTATTGAGTTCCAAATTTCCAATTTAACATATTCATTACATTATTACAATGATTTCCTCACTATGATGAAGTACACTCAAAACCTACTTAACAGATGAGTGACTTCCCCAGGCGTGTAGCCAGGGAGGGGGGTGGTGTTACAGGTGTAATAACACCCCCCTCAGTCGGGGTATACTAAATATTTTTTTATCAAGATAAAAATGCATCATAAGCACGAATTATCTTAAATCGTGATTTACTTTTATTTATCAAAATGAAGTATATTAGTTTATATTACGATAACAATAATGTAAAGCACTAAAGCTGGGATCCGTTATTATTTTAGACCGTTCTGTCTTGTGACGTTTTATCGATTACTCGTTTCATGCACAATTTAATATATCTTTTTATGCAGCGTGTAAGAAAACGTTTACAACTTCTTAATATTGATTATTTGATTATCATGATGAACTATCGTATACCTACGTAAAGTTATCAATTTTGTGTTTATAATTTTTTCAATTAATTTTGAAT